AGAATACACTATTTTTCTAATGTTTTCCAATTTTCTAATGCATACGTAAGCTGTTGCACAATAGGCTCTATGAACAATTGGAAGTTTCGTTTCTCTTTTACTCTTTCAAGTCATATTCAACTTATATTGATGACTTGCGAGTTGGGGTGTGGGTGTGGGTGTGGATGTGGGTGTGGGTGTGGGTGTGGGTGTGAGTGTGAGTGGCGGTGGAAAGTAAAAAGAGACACCCACACCCACACACCCTTCAGATTGCCTAGATCGAACTCATCTTTATGTTATAAAGATCCTGCTTTTCGATGCGAATAACATAGATGTCGACCAGAAAAATAGAACTAGATTTCATGTAGTGATGAACAACGCATCATGCAGGCAGAGATAAGATTTCTTCTACGAAGTTTTCACAATGGCCGTGATATTCATTGTCAACGTAGTCTGTACCAAGGAATACATCTAGACTTTACGAATGACAACGATGGCAGCCAAAAAATGAATGTCAAAAGTTCAAGTACTAGATTTACAACACGAGCATCGTTCTTCCAATGAACAATAATGTATGATTTATTATATTCTTTTTGAATTTCATGAAGTTATTTCGAAAGTGGACCACCATGTTCCTAGTGGTGACATAGCCCCAAAACCGCTGAAAATGGCCAGAAATCACCTTTTTCTCCAGTATTTGGCCAAAATGAGCTTCGTGCTCACTTTTTTCATTCAATATTTAGATGTCATGTTATAGAGTGCAAAAAGTTCTATCGATTTAAGCTATTTCAAAAGCGAATCGCTATGTTTCCAGTGATGAAATAGCCAATATATAGGGTGTGGGTGTGGGTATGGGTGTGTGGGTGCGGGTGTGGGGTGTTGGGTGTTGGATTTTTTTTCTTCTTACACTCATACCCACACCCACACCCACACCCACATCCACATCCACACCCACATCCATACCCACATCCACACTCACAAGCACACCCACACCGACACCCACACTCACACCCATATCCCACACCCACACTCACCCTCTGTAAGTCAGCATTGACGATCCAAAACTCTCTGTTTTTTTGTCGTGATTACATTCCCTCCATTTTTGGTTGTGTACTGTGCTCCATTAATTACCTTCAACAGTGAGTATGAGAACCCCGCTCAATTACTGGAAAGACATTACATAGCGAGCGAGCAACGACGCAAAACAACACTCATTTTTATTTTGCTTTTTCTTCCGGAGGTAGGTACTGATGGCAGACGCTTGTTAGTTCTTCTTCGTTACTTAGAAAGCCAAGACATTCGATACGGTATAAGAGATGTCGTGAAACAGTCTTCGATTTTGACGATGGGTCAGAATGTGGTGGTAGATACGTGGATATCAGTACATTGTGGGTTAGGAGTGGATGAGCGTGAAAAGAAGACAAACACCAAACACTGAAGGGCATAGGTAGAGTCCAAATAGCAGGAGGTACGAAAATTTTCGAGCTAGGAAGGCATCTGTTACGTCCAGGAGCGAAAATTTGGGAGCAAAACTGAACGAGGGCGGATAAGGCTCTTGTGCGACCAAATTTAGATTCGATTCATTTCTCTCTGGTTCGAATCAGGAATAATCCCTCATCATGTTGTGCCAGTTTATTTCTCGATAAGTCATTTAAAGATGTTTCGTCCCCATGGTCCCTCTCCATAGGTATCACGGAGAAATTTTCTCTTCAAAATCGTTTTAAAACCATATGCACTTGTAGATCCAAGAATGCTGAGTAAAGTGAAACATTAGCCTTAACTTAGCATTTAGTCGCTAAGCGCTAAGGTTTTGCTTAGTATTCAGTACTAATAATGGAACCTTTTCAAGTCCGAAATATCTGCATCATTAGGTAGGTCGTAGTGAGGTATAAAAAACCCAAAAGGATACGTAACCGTAACGGGCTCCATTCAGAGTTATGTTTTTGAGTTTTGACCTGAAACTTTGCCTCCATAAAGGTCTCAGCTGGACTAGTTTGTATAAAAAATTTCAGACATTTTGGACAAAGACTCTCTGAGATATGGAACTATCAGAAAACGCATACTATCTATACTATCTATGAAAAGGGTCTGTACCTGAATAGTTTCATATCTCAGAGAGGCTTTGTCCAAAATGTCTGAAATTTTTTATACAAGCTAGTCTAACTGAGAGCTTTATGGAGACAAAGTTTCAGGTCAAAACTAAAAAATATAGCTTTGCTGCAAAAATGGCGTATTCTAGAGAAAATTTACTAAAAACTCGATATCTCGCTAGGAGCACGCCATGTGGACGAACTTTTTCTATTCTAGTCATAATTCATCAAGGTCTACAAGATGCGCATAGTCTCGACTCAAAAGCGAGGGTGTGGGTGTGGGTGTGGGAATGAGTGTATATCTTCACCCATACCCACACACTCACATCCACACCCACACCCATACCCTTATTGTCAACAGACTTATGATTACATAATTATTAATAAAAGCTTTTATCCTGTTGAAACGTGTAACAAAAATTAAACTATAAAACTATCGTGTGAAGGCCTACAGAAAGACAGATGTTGATTATGAATAATCCTTATTTGACGACACTTGAACCTTGTGTGCAATGTCTCATAAAGAAATGAATTCGGAGGAAAATGTGTGAGCTGCAGGTGCAAATGCGAGTCTTCTATTTACTCATGATTCACATCCTCATTCAGATCCATACTCTCAGTAGGAAGATTCGACAAACCAAAAGAGCTGTTTCGAATGTTCCACACTTGGTACTAACATACTACGATCGCACAAGCTCATCGATTTTGGTTGCTAAAGTGATAAAAAATCAAAATCAATACAATATGACGGGAAATTTAATGAGATTAGCCATAACAAGAACATGCACACGATGGTAAATTTTGGTTATGGGGTGAGAATAATAATAGAGAAGCTGCTGATGGCAAATACGCGTGCACCAATTAAAATAAAATCTATCAGCCAGAGAGCAACACATGGTGATAAAAAGGAAGCGATTTGCTTCTCGTTTCAATGTACCGAACTTCGAGACAAATTTTTACAATCATAGTAATATGAAATATTAAGACTGAATCCTTGAGGGCCATAGGATAATGCGTTGGAATGCTCAAGATCAATATGATTGTTGGTCATTCCCTCGACTGAAGGGAGGGTCATATGAAAAAAAATGGTTTGTTTGTTTGCTTGCTTGTCACAGGTCGAAAAAACATTTATGAGAGGTTAGCTTATTTTAAGGCCTTTCCAAGTTTTGATGAAACTTTGCTATAGGTTATCGATCGCCTTGAATCCAAATCCGAAGCCCATTTTCTTGGCCGAGATTTCATTGGTCAGGAATCGGCCAATCAGAAATGAGCTTTTTTATTTTAAGACTTTTGGCCATTTTCATGAAACTTTGGTATTCCCTCGACTGAAGGAAGGGTCATATGAAAAAAAAGAGTTTGCTTGCTTGCTTGCTTGTCGTCAGGCCAAAAGAACATCAGGGTTAAAAGAACCTCTGGGTCAAAAAAACATACGCTTAAAGAAGTTTGCGCTTTGAGGCTTTCGACCAATCACGTTATTCAGCCCACAGTTTCAGCCAATGAGATGTTTTCGATATCGGGCTTTCGACCAATCAGATAAAGTTCTTTCCTCTAAACGTTGACAAAAGTAAATCGGGATCGGGGAATGCGAATCTGAAGTCAGTTTCTTAAAATTTTGAATTGAGTTTTAGGGTCAAGAAAAGGGTTTTTTGAGAAAATAACGATATTTTATAAAGGTTGACGAAAGCAAATCCAGGTCGGAGAACCCGAATCTCAAGTCAGCTGTTCAAAAACTCAAGTAGGTTTTTGTATGAGACAAATCATCCTTTTTTATCTGAATTATTGTCTAAGGAAAAAGTCAATTTTTTTAAAGCAAAAGGCATTTGAAAAAATGGAAACCCGAAATATGGACAATCCTTCTGCGTATTTGGAGTTTGTAATTGCTGTTTAGTTTCGGTAGCCTCTTCATAGTATCGTTGTAGACATGAATCAGAGTGTGATCTAATGGGTTGAGTGTTTCAGTAAGTCGTAGTGTGATGAAACAGTGTTTACAAACCATTGGCACTCAGTCTAATGTGTGCAACATTGTGGGATTCATGATTATTCATAGTGGTTTGTGAGTTAAGTGGCCTTTTTTGAGTGCACTCTGCTTAAGTCGAGAGAAGTAGCATTAAAAGAATCCTGTAAATGAAGTTACGGCCTGTAGGATAAATGCTGAATAACCAATGATTATTTTAATGTATTCCAAGAATGCAACAAGGGACTATGAGCAAGGCCTGAGAGAAGTGTTGGCGAACTAGTGGTCGCTAAAATTGCGAACGTATTCTAATGTTGTTTAGCAAAAGATCTACATGAAACCTGCATTTATCAAGAATAATCAACTAAGATTCTCCAAACCAGAAGCCCTAATAAAATTTTATCGTATTGGCTAAACCATTGGGTTAAAGAAATTAGGAATAAATAACAGGAAACTGTTGGTCCAGAGCTGCTCATGTGGAGCGATGGTGTTATAAATCTAATATTCTAAGTAAGAGCAATCTGTGATTTAACAGGGTTTAAGTGAAAAGAACTATCTTATGGGAGAAGAAGATCAGAGGTTGCAGCAGCTAGTCGCGAGTGGCGCCCCTTTGAGGCGCCACTCGCGACTAGCTGCTGCACTTGACAGTTGCATTTTGAAGGGCGTTAAATTAAAAAGATTAAACAAGAGAATGTGTAGGGGTTAGATCTGGTGAGTTTCAAAACGGACTCAAAGTGATAAAAAAGGAGAAATATTTTTGTATGCATCCTAAGACCAGTTTTTCTGGAAGAATAGAATATAGTGACAATGTATGGATGGAAAACATCATTAAAACAGTTAAATTCACTGCATCGAAAACGAACTTGAAAGGAAAAGAATTAGTTTTTCGGTTCGTATATTTTTTTGTGGATTTAGAATGTGCATTTGCTGAAGTAGATGATCAGCTAAAACAGTATGTCTTTTTCGGTTTTGCATAAATGTATGAAAAAGAAGATAATAATTGGAAATTGTATGTTTGTTTTCGTCTTATGAAAATATTTATCAATTAAGTGAGTCATTTGTAGTTACTATGGAATGGTTTTTGACTATTTATTAATTAAATGTACGCGATAAGAGTGAATAAGCTATTGAATTTGGTCGTGTTTGATACTTATAAGAAAGGTTCTTTCGTGTTTTTAAATCTATCATATGCGGAAATATATACATGGATAGGCGTGGGTCTAACATTGAGACCTGCCATCAATTTGTCATATGCTATAATTACTATTATGAAAAGTGATACTTTTATCCTGGTATGTTTTCGGGAATTCTGATATGTGCAATGTCTAGGTACTGTTATTCAAAGAAAATAGTTTTGAAAATGCATATGTGAATGATATCGTAGCTGTTGTATTACATGGACAATAAGAGTCTGTCGTTCAAGTGCACTTATGTAAAAGAAGGACTTAGCCGTGGCTGGTACCCCAAAGGGGCGCCAATGAACTGTTAATCGTTAACATTGCAAGCATACTACAGACTGATCTCACTAAAGATCTTCGTATCGGTTAGGCATTTTGAAGAATAGTGCACTAAGATTTCCTTAATGAGAACCTCAAAGAATATTCTGGTTTCTCAGTTCTACAATCAAATTGCGGAAATGAGAAATAATTCATGAGAAAACTTTTGTTTGAAAATTCCTATCGATAATTCTAACGCTTTAGACTAACGAAGTTTTGAAATAGTAAATTCTGGACCAGGTGAATTTAAAATACAGAGGGATAGTGTTGTGAAAAGATGGGAGTAGACCTGGCAGCAATTAGTCACTCATCGGCGCCACTCGCGGCTAGCTGCTGCACTGGGTTATCTTCAGAAGTGCCGCTTCGAAGTGTTGGGATTCATTGAATAAAAGTCAATAGTCGAAGTCAAATGGGTCTGAATAAGGAATATCAGATACAAAAAGTTGAAAAAACTATGTCAAGTCAAGGATAAGAACCGGTTTTTATGTTTCGACAAAATAACTGAATAGTTCGTCAGAATAACAGTATTACTGAAAGAATTTATATTCGCTGCATCGGTAGTGAACATGAATGAAATAAAAGAATGTTTCTTTTAGAATATGGTTTTTGTTTGTATTAATTCAAGTATCTGAATATACATTGATATATTTAAATTACTTGTCTAGTCTTATCACTACTTTGAATAAGAGCGTGTTGTATATATCAGATTTCGATTAGAGATCAGATATAATGTTTTATTTTCGGCTAGGGGTTCCACAGAACTTCCATTTTCCTAGAGAACTCTATAGTCAACAGCATTATCGAGGAATGTTCTAGGATGTGTACAAATTTCTAGTAGAATTTTCAAAAAGTACTCTGCGTTTTCGTATAATTTTTGTGAACTTCTATTGCTATATCGTCTGTGAAAAATTGAATATGATATCTTGTTCAGTCGAGGGCTAAGCGAGTCGAAGCGACGAGCGTTACTTGTAGATGTGGATGAGAAGAAAACGCACGAGTCACACCCACACTCCAGAAAACCTAAATCGATTATTAGTAATTTGAACTCATCTTCATGAGTGACAACGATCTACAACTTATTGCTCTTACAGCACGGATTTGTGCGGAAAGTTTTGAAAGACGTGAAATTCGGTGCCGTGACTGTATAAACTGCTAATTAAACTAATTGAGTTAGACATAGTTGAACAAGTATACAAGCTGTTACTCGGTCGGAGTTCTATGAACCATGAGAAACTCTGTATCTCTCACTAACTCAGACGAACCGACGACTAACAAGGCAAATTTCAAGAGGCGATTTTACTCTTCGAAAAAACGCTTGCAATGGATGAAAAAGTACTCCCTCATAACACCCCGATTTAGCTGTTTCTTACAACAATATCAGCTTGGTCTACAATAACATGGATGAGTGCTCGACATTGCTTTCATATTACTAAAAAGCATTGGAAATACGTAAAAAAATTGTTCCATCGAACTATCCAGATTTGACTACATTCTACAACAATATCGATGAAATGTATTCCAAGATGGATAAATATTCGAAAACACTTTCATACTTTGAATAAGCACTTGATATACACGAAGAAATTCTTCCTTCAAACCATCTCGGTTTGGCTGAATCTTTCCACCATATTTATGAAGCCTACGATGAGATGGATGACTATAATCAACAACACTTCCATTCTTCGAACGTACAATTAAAATTGGACAAAGTTCATTACTTTTATATCATCCTTGTCTTCAATAATATCACAGAAACATCGAATTCGTAATAGAGAAATTATAACTAACGTGTTGTCACAATCACATAAAATATTTTGAAATTAATATGACCCTTAATACTTCGAACATACGTAATCTTCTGGTTCCGTATTGTAAATTTGAAAAGGTGAATAACTACGTAGCATGGAATAACAGAGTGATTCGAAGATAAAATAGTTTTATTTTTCTTCCAGTGCAAACAGGAAATCTCCAGTCTGATCCGATCAAAATGCATTTAGACAGCTACTTCAGTTGCTGCACTTTCTTTTAAATGAAGATCTTATAAATACATCTTATCGATTTTTTTTTAACCTGATTCAATATGGAAAATGTAAAACTTGGAAATTTCTTTTGAAATCATCGATTAGATCTCTTCCAAATCAGATTTTATTACATCATAAATAGATGACACACTCTAAATTATTCTTATTTATTGAATGCAAAATCACACTAGTCAAACATGCACATATTCATTTTGTGTAGGAAAAAACCTACTTTTATTCACAACATGTCATTCACTCCTACTTTGTTTTTTAATAGCTGCGTTCTCTCCATCGACAAAAAAGGAGTTTGGTAGCGAGTAGAAAAAGCAACAATCATCTCACATTCTTCCGTTCTGTATTAAAAAAAAAAAAGAAATCACAAAAGGCGCGACATTGTATTTGACTTCACTATTATGTTGCCTGAGTAAGATTTGCATATATTGACAATCACCTCTATGAATCACGAAAGCAAATCGATGTTGGTATGCCACTGTGGCGACAAATTTTTCGATCAAACAGCTTTGAATAGACACAAGGTATATGATAAATCTGATTAATATTCTATTTTGTATATAATCATTTCTTAGAATGAAAACTGTCGTAATCAAGGCTTTTTATGTCAGTTGTGTGATGAATATCTTTCAACTTCGAATGATATGCGTACTCATTTGCTCCTATGTGCGACCAAGACAAATCAATGTCCTAATTGTAAAAAATATATCTCACGATCAATATTTGCCTATCACAAGGAAAGTAACTGTATTGATCTCGATCTATTCGAAGAAGTAAGAGTTGAATGTTGATTTAAAGCTCGACATCAATTTAACAAATTTGCATGTCATATTTATTCTAGGAGACAGTAGAAAAGAATCGATTTCATACAAAACATCGTTCGAGTAGTGTGAATATATCTTCTGATCGAGTGAAATTCCAAGTTTCGACAAAATTCGAATCTTCTTCTACCATTAATAGCAAACCAAAATGCAACAGAAACACATTGGGAAATTTAGCTAAGAAAGTTACGAATGTACAAAATTCTTTATCTAAAGATTTGTATCAACCAGAAGTAGATTATGCTATAGAAAAAATTCAATTCAATATTCTCATCGTCGGTTCACCACGTGTCGGCAAAAGTGAACTTATCAATGCTTTATGTAACGGAAAGTGTCGAGCAGAAACCAGTTCAAGTCTAAATTCTTGTACCAAGGAAGTGAGATGTTATGTTTTAGAAGACGATCGACAACATAAAAGTGATGAGCAACCATTTAAAATCAATTTTTATGATACACCTGGTATTGAATCATGGATAAATCAAAGTGGAAAGAAGACAATGCTTGAATTTATTGAAGAGAAAAATCCTGTCTGTCTGATTTATTGTGCTTCACCTGGATCATTTGCTGATTTAAAACAAGTTCATCCAGTACTTGAATTTTGTAAAAGTAAAGATATATTTTGTGCTCTTGTATGTACAAATATGTGGTCTGGAAGTAATCGACATATGGTGATTAAAGAATTCGAAAAAGAACTTCAATTCTTTGGTGAACAAATTGATAAATTTGCTGATCAATCTCCTTCTCAAACTCATCATAAAGTGTCTTTTTTTGGTAAAGGTGCTCTTTGTACAATGGTTAATTCAAAAGAATATCATGATCCCGATTTGTCTGATAAACGAATGCCTGTACAAGGCATTGACGAACTTATTCATAGTATCATGGAGTCTCTTGATCAAGAGAAATTACTTGCTTGGTGCTATGCTGTACTTCATCGTCGCACCTACTGGGAAAAGATTAGTCAGAAAATTGGTGGTTTCTTTTCGTTACGTCTTGTGAATTTGCATACTTTAGTAAGTCCATCTCCGGAAAGAACGGCAAGAAATTTTTTCACTTATTTCTATGAACAGTTTTTTAAAAAGAAGTGAAAATTAAAACAAATTTTCTCTATTTTTCTTGTATTTTAGATAATATTTTTTTAGCAACAAGTATGGCAAAAGAATATAGCATTGTTGTATGTGGTTCAGCACGTGTTGGTAAGAGCACTCTTGTTAATGCTATTTGTGGAAAACAGGTGGCTCGAACAAGTAGCAGTCTCTGTTCTCATACCGAACGAATGGAAAAATATATTATCAATAGAAATGACATTTTCACCAATGATCGTGACAATTCCGTTCGATATACGATTACCATCTATGATACTCCAGGTATTGAATCATGGACGGAAGAACACGTTCGATCATATTTATCAAATATTATGCAAACAAGTAAACCTGTATGTATGATCTATTGTGCATCACCTGGTTCATTTGCTCGACTTGATCAATTACAATGGCTAGTTAATACATGTATTCAATCGAATATCTTTTGTGCTTTAGTTTGTACAAATAAATACAGTGGAGGACATGAAAAACGTACACAAGTAATGCAAGACTTTCATTCACTTTTAACACGCTATCATGGAATGACAAGAGACGAGAATATGATTAAGTATTATGGTGATGTCGCTTTATGTACTGCAGTGAATAGTATTGTATATGAAGATCGAGATTTATGTGTTCGAAAAGAAGCCGAAGGTATCAATGAACTTATTTTCGGCATTTTAACTTCATTGAAAGATGATAAAATTGTTGCTTGGTGTTATACTGTAGCTGATAATGAATCATTTTGGACAAAGATGGGGTCGAAGCTTACAGAATTCTTTAAAATATCTCAACCGGTTGTGGAAAAATTTTTTCAAGAACATGGCAAAGAGATTGCAACGGCTTTATTTGGGCTTATTATGACTGTTATTAAACGCAAAATGTAATCATGCTTTTTTCAATCAATATTCTTTAACTTTTTTTTTTTATTATTCAGACTTTGATATCACTTATAATAAAAAGTTTCTTCTTCTCGTTAAATTTTTTCTTCACTCGAAAATAACGAAAGACAAATTATTTTTATCTCTTTTCATTCATTTTTAGAAAATATAGATAATGACAAATCATCTAAAACAATCGAATATTCTTCTTTGTGGATCAGCACGTGTTGGTAAAAGTACTTTGATCAATGCAATCTGTCAACAAAAATTAGCCAAATCAACTGCAAGTTTGAATTCAGTGACCAAGTCGGTTACCACATATTCATATGAATGTTCAAATGATCAATCAACTCATAAAACGATTATTTGGGATACACCTGGTATTGAATCATGGAATGAAAATGATGTTCGCAGTTACCTCGCATCATTGATTGAACAAGCTCAACCACTATGCATGATTTATTGTGCTTCACCAGGTTCGTTTGCCATATTAGATCATATTCAATGGTTACTTCATGAATGTTCTCGTAAAAATATCTTCTGTGCTCTTGTTTGTACAAATATGTGGACTGGAAGATATCGACAAGAGGTTGTCAATGAATTTTGTAGACTTTTGAGTCTTGTTCATCCAAACATTCATCCCACAACGGAAGGTAATATCATCTATTATGATAAAGTTGCTCTCGTCACAATGGTTAATAGTCAAGAATATGTTGATGAAGATTTTAGTGTGAAGAAACCTCCATCAGGTGTGGAAGAATTGATTTTTGGTATTGGTCAGTGTCTTAATCGAGATCTTATGTTTGCATGGTTTCGAAGTGTTTCTCAAAACTTTTCCTTTTGGTCAACCATGTCATCGAAATTGAGCAATTTACTGAATGTTCCTACTGAAGCTTTTTATTCTCTGTATGAAAATACTGTAAATTTACTTACCTTTCTATTTGACTTATCTGATTCTTCTATCCAAGACACGGTTGAATCGAATTAAAAAAATTCAGAATGTATTCGATATTGTTTCTTTCGATTTTAGGAAGAATTTTTATTTCATGATGCAGAAATAATTGATGTACCTGAACAGAAACATAATAAGAAACTAGTATTCACTTTAAAATCACAAGGTAAATATTTGAAGATCATCACAGTTTAACTCTAGGCATTCATATTTAGATGCAGAAATCATAGGAGAACTTAGTCAAATTTTGTCAAGACTCGGCGCAAAAAATTCAAAAACTGAACATTCAAAAACTGAACATGAGCAGCGATTCTCAATAATTGCCGAGTAAGTAAAAACTGTCTATTCATGAGAGAACTTTTCCTGGCAGCTTTTAATCCTTATTACCTTGTATTAGGTTTGAAAATGTTGAACACATGGAAGCAATACATAATATATGGCAATTAGCAATGACGTCTCAAGTCAGTTGTACAATGGTAGATGAACAATGTACTAACTCTAACATTTAAAGCTTCTTTTTTAATTCGAATGTATTTGAAATAAAAATAGAGACAACTGTCTCCGCAGAATGAAAAGTGAATACCAAATTGAAGCCCTATTCGAACTCATTTATACTTGTGACAAAATCAAGCATTAAAAATCTATATGCGAATAGAATAACGTGATGAATGTGGTCAGTTGAAATTTTTGTTCAATATGAACAACAATTGCTACTTTCTTTTCGCCTGTCTGATCTAATATAAATTGATTTAGATGGACTCTTAAACTTCGACATTTTCGTTTAGTTTGTGTTGCACAATACACTTCAAGTTTTCGTTTGAATTACTCCTAAGTACATAAAATATATTTATAACTATTCTAAACATAGTTTTACTTTAAAGGACTCAACTAACATAGATATCTATTGCAGTTGAAAATCTGCCACTATCATGACCACACTCTGCATCTCATGCTGTCAAAATTCAATATTTTAAACACAGACTAGTAATATTCGATTTATACATTTTATTAAGATCAATATCTATGAAACAACAAACACATATGGATAATAGAACAAGTGTAGAAAATAATAAAATAAAAATTACATAATGAATAATTTTAAATAGCAGATATCTGAAAAAAACATCTATAGTACTAATTATTTTATTTTACAAGTATATTTCTGTATAGACAAAATATGAAATATTGCTTTTCTGAAATGTTTTTCAATTGAACTGATTATAACAACTATAACCAAAAATTAGTTATCACTTATTTCAGTCGATTGTTTGAAATCAAAAGAAAAAAAAATTATTAAAGATGACTATTTTCTATTTATCTCTCAACAAAACTAAATCATAAAAAGCTTGGCTTTTATTAAAAATTAATTCAAGACAATAATGAAGAAAATTGTTTGTAACTTTTCTATATCGTGCTTAAAAATATATATAATCAATTTTCTTAAAATATTCTTTATTGAAATAAAAAGTTTTAATAAAAGAAATCCCATTTAGGATAAAAGAAAACATTAATGAAAATTTTCTGGGCAAATAAATGATTCTTCTGTGTGCATATTTCTCAAGCTAGCACAATTAAGACATACTGCATCATTGGTGAAATTATTTGTTACGATTATGAGTGTTTCGTACCCAATGTGAGTTCCATTAAACGAGGTAAATGGGTTTGCATTTCGAAAAGAAACTATTCGGCATAATTCATATATGATGTACCGAGACTGAACGAGATAAAATGAGAAAATACAATTAATGAAGATGGATATTGCTTATTTTTTGTGTATGAAAATTACATACGTCTAACTTTTCAAGATAAGGAAAATCTTGAGATACAAGTTTGAATAAATCATGTTCGAATGGACTTATATCATTCATAATTAAGCATTGAACTTTCTTAAACATACCACCTTGAATAAAGTTAGTCAGATTAATGAAAATATTGAATTGATATGGAAGTAAATAGACATTACATCGAGTAACTACTGTGATTGTATTAAAATTAGCATACGAACCAGCTGATTATATCCTATTTTGTTAAAACTGCATATCTTATCATTTGATGGTAAATCAATTTTAATATTTTTGTTAGCAATGAGTGTGACTATACTGAAAGAAATAATGTTAATTATTAAAGATTTGTCATTCGATTAAGTAGTGAAACAATTTGTTCGTCATAAAATATTGTATGATGAATTGAAGTATAGTAATATTCTAGGATACTGATAATCAACGTGAAATTAGTATTGAAGACGTTCATCAAGAAGATAAAGACAATCATCAAAAGTATTAACATTAATTTTTAATTTAGTCAGAGTTGAAGATACCCAAATTGTCGTTGGATGACTAAAAGTTGACATCGGTAAACGTTGATCGAATGAATACTCATAAGAGATCAAATCAGTTAATTGTTTACTTAAAAATAATAATAATCAAAATACATTTAATTTATTTTCATTGGATAATGTTGTTGCGTTTCCATCTTTGATCTCAACGTCGAGTTGTTTGATTTGATCAGTGAGAAGAAAATGAAGAATTCTATTACCTAAAATATACAGAAACACCATATATGCATGGGTGTAAGTGTGTAAAGTTGGTGAGGGTACAGGTCTTAGCGAAAAAAATATCCACACTTCTCAAGAACACATAGTATTGTCAAATTATGTGTAATAATATACAGGTGATTTATTAAGATGAATAAAATATTGATAAAATGTTTCTTTTGGAAAATTAATAAATGACAACGAATCAGGTTGAGAATAATCAATAGTAAAAAGAATACGTGAATGAATACGAGGTAAGATTTCTAAATGAGGATATGGATGTGGGTCTCTTGAGGGTGTGGGTGTGGATGTGGGGTGTGGGTGTGGGCGTGGATGTGGGTGTGTGGGTGTGGGTGGGGGGTATGCGTATCGTTGCAAAGATCCATACCCATAACCACAGCCACTGCCACACCCACACCCACACCCACACCCACACCCACACCCCACAGCCACACCCACACCCACAGCCACACCCCACACAGTACAAATTACTGTAAACATATCGAAGAATTTAACATAAGGATTCTTCAGTAAATATTTATGAATTAATCCGAAAAGAGATGCTATTTCCAGAACACTCATTGATTGATGATTTTGCTCACTTTGTAGGAATTAATCAAATAATGTCTATTTATTTATTTGAATTGTAACAACAATTCATAACAGACATAGCCTTTGAGGGATAGACACTGTATGTATTGTTCAATAAAACTCTGTTTGATTATTAGTCGAATTGGATTTACTAAAATACTATAACATTAACATACAAAAAGTCATTCAAAGTAAATTATGATGTTCGATGACTATTCAACATGAAAAAAATGTAAACTGAATGAAACCATAAGAGATTCAACAAGTTACGAAATATACTATGAAACTGTGAAATTGCATCAATTTTCTCCATCCTTTTTAAACTTTAAAGCAGAATGAATGATTTTCCTTTCGATTTGATGAATCATCATACCAGAATGACTCACTCACTCAGGTATGACATGTGATGATGTGACGTGGCTATACATTTCATCTATAAATGCACTAGATCTGCATTATTTTTCCTATGTCACATGCAAGATTGATGTTCAACTGCAGTTTATTTTTATTCAGTAAGTATATCGAAATCGTTTGATGCAGTAAAGGCTTCGTTCTTTTCATGATTTTCTCTTTTTTTGGATTACCTATCCATGATCATGAAAAAGAAACGAAACAATAAAAAGCAGCAGACAATTTCTGACTTTGAAATAGTGGCGTAACCAGGATTTTCCAGTATCCTGGATCTCCATCAAAGAGCATGGGTCCCAAATGAAAACTTATGTACATTGATATTGGACTCAAATGATGAGTTTCTATCGGAAAAAATTTTGAATCAGAGTTTGCAAAAAAATTAGCATTTTCCTGAGCCCTACCAGAAAATGTTTCACATCTTTAATGATATGCCATTTTCAGGAATGCCATCGAAAGCTACATCAAATTTCATCGACAGATTTCAAATTTCATTTAAAAAAATTCATCCGTTCAGAAGTT